GATGCGCACACAAATGTTGAAATTTAGTCATTTGTGAATGTGCCTACTGTGAACCAGTGGAGGGAGAAATCCCACTGTAAATCTTATTCAATCCAACATTGTCAGCCCGAAAAGAAAAGCAGACTCACACTCTCAGAGCATCGCAACCCAGCCATGAATGGCCTGACTGATCACAGTACCGCTAATGACCAAGGGACCAAAGGAAATGTCACACAAACCATGTTACAAGGACTTGCTGCAGGACTTGGCATTAGTTCGTTGGTGAAGACATACAGATGTGTTCATATAGGCTATTTACCTGGATTGCTGCAATCTCAGGCAATCATCTCCCCATAAGCCATGCTACAGGCAAACTCGAGTGGGGAGGAGGGTGGTGAAAAGCCTTGCCTTTCGACATGGAAGTCATAGGAACCATGAAAAAGCCCAGAGAGTCAGGGTAAGTATGGTTAGACTTTTGGCCAAGATTCAAAAGAGAAGGAGAAAAAAAAATCAAACAAGAAAAAACAAAACAAATGCCAAACCACAGATCTGAGCTCAGTGAGTTCTTGTATCCCAGGACAAAGGTTGTAATAGGGACACGAGGTCAGAAATGGAAACAGAATCAGTTTAATAAGAAAGGGAAAGAGAGTTGGAGAGATGGCTCAGCAGTTAAACAGATTCCCTTATTTATGGGCACTTTCTGGTAAGTGGCCCCCCCAAAAAAAGAGATCCAAGGAGGAATGTGTTGCCTGCCTGCCCAGTGGTACCCTCAGAGGGCAGACAGAAAAATTTTTCACCTCCACTATGGCCACACTGGTCTCAGACCCCTGTCCAGTCTTGCTGGTTTCCTTTCCCTAAAGGGTAGGACTTGCTTCTCCCAGAAATCCTTGCAGGACATCTCTGCTCTGCAGTTCTCAGGTGACACTTCCTAACCTTGGTGACCTGCTACATGCCACAAAGCATCCTAGTGTTGTGACGCTGCAGGTTAACAGTGCCCCTTCTGGGGGGGAGGGGACGGGAAGCTGTGATGCTGCAGGTTAACAGTGCCCCTTCTAGAGAGCAAACAAGATCAGGTATAGAAAGACAGAGCACCACAGCAGCAGCAGGATCTGAGAGGTGTCTGGTTGGGGCATGTCTCCTCACGGGAGAGATGATCTGGAAATGTATAATCTAGAAGAAAGGCCCCAAAGCTGGAGTGAGCCTGGCTTGTTTGAAGAATCAAAGACAATGGGGCAGGGCTCAGCAGGTGGAGGAAGAAGGCCAAGGAGTTAGGTTGAAGGGAGGTGGACTTCCTTGTAGCACTGAGAGGTGAGAGCCACAAGCAGAGTAAACAGACACCCAGTTCAGTAGGATAGTTTCCCACAAGAAACCTTCGCAGGACACCAGCCCACATCAGTTGGATGGGTCTTCCTCTTCTCCAGGCGGCGGCTTTAGGATTTCCAAACTTTGTTCCGAACCTAAGCCGGTAGGTTTCTCAGGTCTCTTTCATCCCATTTTGACGTGCAGCAGTGAAATAGGAACTAAATGGTGGTGTGACGACACACCTATAATCCCAGCACTCAGGAGGAGGAAGCTGGATCACTAGTTTGAGGTCAGCCTGTGTAGAAATGCAGTTGGCCTGGCAGGCGTGATGGTATTGTTTTCATATATGTATAATTGTGCGTTTGTCTGTGCCTGTGAGCATGCACATGTGCATGAGTGAAAGTGCACACGGAAGCCAGAAGACGGCATCCAAGCCCTTGGAGCTGGACTTACAGGTGTTCCTGAGCTGCTAGATATTGAGCTGGAATCTGAACTCCAGTCTTCGTGACAGTCCTCAGCAGCAAATGTTCTTTTGTTTTGTTTTTATTGTTGTTTTGTTTTTCAAGACAGGGTTTCTCTGTGTAGCCCTGGCTGCCCTGGAACTCACTCTGTAGACCAGGCCGGTCTTGAACTTGGAGACCTGACTGTCTCTCCCTCCCAAATGCTGGGATTAAAGGCCTGCACCCCCAGGGCCCTGCAGAGAAGCATGTGCTCTTAACAGCTAAAACATTTCATCATCCCGTAGGAGTGAAGACAGTCTTAAAAATTATTACTCCCCTCTCATTTGGCTATCAGACCATAGAGAAGATGGTCCCCAGCTAGGCCTTTAGACCCAGGATTCAAGAAACAGAGGTGAGCAGATCTCTGAGTCTGAGGCCAGCCTGGTCTACATAGTGAGTGTCAAGTCAAGCAGTTATAAAGGAAGATCCCAGCTCAAAACAACTGTGAATTTGGGCTTCTAGGTGTGTCGTAACACCATCATTTAGTTCCCATTTCACTGCTGTGTGTCAAAACAGTATGAAAGAGACCCGAGAAACCTGCAGGCTTAGGTTTGGAGCAAAGTTTGGAAATCCAGAAGTTGCTGCCTGAGGAAGAGCAAGAGCCATCCAATTGATGTGAGCTGGTGTCCTAGGAAGGGCTCTTTTGAGAAACTATCCTACTGAACTCAGTATCTTTCTACACTGCCCCGTGGCTCTCACCCCTAGCCCCACAGTCGGCTTTACTGTGAAGTGTATCTTATACAGTCGCTGCCCCATTTCCCCAAACCCTGATTTGAGCATCCACCAATTTTGGTCTCTTTAATTTGTTTTGGTAGAGATGGTAGGACATCCTGGCCCTGGTAACATGGCCTCCTACAGCTACTAGGGTCCAGGAAACTTTGGTAACAGAAAGACCTTGCCTCAAAAACAGAAACAAAAGCCCCAAACAACAACACTTTATATTCTAATAGCAACTAAAATGAGGAATGACAGTCAGCTTTATACCAGAAACCCCAAGCCAGCGACCCCCCCCCCATAAATACTCATTCCCTCCAGAAACTTTGCTCTTTACTTTTGGCAACACCGACAGATATATGCATGAGCTTGTGTTCCCCACTGTGAAAGCTGCAGTGACCTGGGGAAACATTTTGTTGGGTTCTGACCCCTTTATTTAGACAGCCGGGTATTCTAGAGTCTGGCTTTGGGGAAGAAGCACAGCTCATTTCTCTTTAAGTCACTTGTCACTGAGTTTTCTCTCTCAGTACTTTCGAGGCTAGAGGAGCCACACTGAGTCACTAGCTTCTCTCTGTGTCTCTGCACGCCCCACCCCCTACACACACACACCTTACTTTCCAGGATACCGACTTGTTGGCCAGCCTCCTCTGCAGCTAGCAGCGTCTTGGGAACAGTCGGCTTAGCTCTGCATCCTCAGTCCCACACACATCTGCAGCTACCATTGGTCACTGTTGCAGCACGGCTAAAGACCTTGAATAGACTGGTATTGCCATTCAGTAGACCGAGGCCCTTCTCACTAACTGTACAGAAATCCCGAAGAGGCGAAAGGAAAGCTCTTCAAGGGCCGTCTGAGTTTGATGGTTTTTACAGTTTATGGTAACAGTGAGTTTATGGTAGTTTAGTGGCGCCCTCTAGTGTTCCATCTGTGTAGGAGGGACCCTGAGCCATACAGTGACAAGTGTCATAGCTCTTAAACACAGGTCGAGAGTGTCAGAATTCCTCAGCCTTTCACAGCACCAGTGTGACAGCTCTTGGGTGGAGGGTGTCTGAGACCCTTGGCTCTCTGGAATTCTTCAAGCAGCCTAGAGCTGCTTCCCTCTGACTCTTTACAGCCTTCCATCCTTCAGCCTCAACTCTGTACCCCCCTCTTTATTCCCGATGTTCTGGTTTCGGTCCTGGCTGCCCTCTGACTTTTTAGCTGCTTCTCTTGCCATGACAACCGGCATGGCTGCTGCCAGTGCTGTGTTTTGCTGTTTCTCATACTGTCCTCGTTGATGTGGCAGCTGCCACCCACTGCCACCCCCCTGCTTCTCCCACAGCTCCTAGGCTGCTGTCGCCTTCAGGAGCTGCAATCTGTTCCAGGGGCAGCAGGCAACTGTAATTGTATGGCTGCTTCAAAGTGTCCCTGGAGCAGCCTAAGGGCAATCGTGAAATCCAGAAGCAGCAACAAGGTAAAACTTTCGTCCTTGGGTGTTGCCAACAGGTTGGGAGGTGAGGCTGAGGGGTGAGAACTTGGCTCGCTGGACCACAGAGCAAAGGCATGCTGTTGGAATGTGCTGAAAGAAAAACAGCTCTCACCTCAAAGGTAATAAGAGATAGCTTAGTCTGGAGTCAAATATGAGTGACTATGGCTTAAATACCATGTGGTGAGTTTCATGACAGATAGTAACAAATTTCACAAAGTATTTTTAAAATACACTCGCGGGTACCATCAGGTAGGTGGGTTAGAACAAAGTGCGTGGGCAAATGGCTGATGACATTCTTAGCCTTCACGTTGGTTTGTACAACAAATATTTGCTTGGGTAGCCAAGTTATAGCGAAACAGGGACGTCTCTGCTGTAGGTTTCTTACGTTTTGGGATGACAGATTAAGCTTTGGGTTGGCAGAAGTTAATATTCTACCAAGTTAATATATTTCAGAGGTTTTACTTTTAGTCATAGGAATTTTGGGTCAGAGACAGAGATAGGCAATCCACGGCTATGAAAGAGCCAGATAATCATTGTAGGTAATGTTGGCTTTGAATCTGCATTCCAACTCTTAACAATCACGAAATTATTTCTAGTCAACCAACCTTGTAGAATTCTCCACGTCGTGTGGCTTTCTGCTGGGAGCTTCGGTTACGTTTGGTTTGCTAAAGTAACAACGCCCGACCCCGCCCCCCCCCCCCCACTTCTCTCGGTGTTACCAGCTTTGCTCTGCAAGAGGTAGAACCTATGGAGCCCAAATTTCATTTTGGAGGCATAAAATGGATGTACTGCTCTTAGGAAACTCTTATTCCTACGCAGGAAAGCAAGTCAAAGAGCAAAAGAAGACCATGGCCATGGCCACTGCGCGTTCAGCCGAACAGGCTCCCCGGAGACTCTGCCCACTTGGCGTTCCACGCTCCGCTCCGCCCTCGTCTCTGCCCAGTGAGGACGCCTCACTGGAGGATACCGCCCACTGTGCAAAACAGCCGACTTCCGCTTCTACCTCAGTGACGTCAGCGCGCTGCCGGGTTACGTCATTGCAGCGCGCCATGCGCGGAGACATGGCGGAGCTGGGCAGAGTGCGGCTGGCAGACCCGGATGCTCTGCTACCCACGGGCTTCTGGGCCGCCGTGGCCGTGTGGCTGGAGAGGCCACAGGTGGCCAACAAGCGGCTGTGCGGCGCCCGCACCGAGGCCCACGGGAGCGCTTCCCTGCCCCGCGCCCAGATAGAGAAAGGACCGCGGCGGGGCCAGGAACCCGGGCTGGAGGGGCATGACGTGCGGGAACCCGGACAAGCTTCTCCCGAGGGAAAGCCAGGCTTAGGACCTAGGGCGGGCCGCGAAGGCAACGTCTCCGCGGCTGACCTGGGCTCTCTGTGGGACCGAGTCTCCCAAAGCCTTGCCCACGACAATCCGGAAATGTTGGCCTTCATCTCTGGGCCCGCGATGGACTCTCAACCTGAAGCCCCTCAGAAACTCGACCTGGTTCTCAGAACCGTCATCCCGAAAGCGAACCCTCGCTGCCCGCTTACAGAACCGAAGAAAGAACTGGTGGTGCAAGGTGGGAGCGTAGTGGGAAGAACGCGAATAGATTGAAAAGCGTTTGCTTTTTGAGACAGGGTCATATATCATATATGGCCTGGAATTTGCTATGTAGACCAGGGTGGCCTTGAACTCACATCTACCTGCCTCTGTCTCCCAGGTGCTTGGATTAAAGACGTGTGCCAATGTGTCCGGTCTGAGATGCATCTATTCACAGGACTTTAACATAGCTGTAGGGCCTGTGTCTTTGCAACGTGCAGAGGTCGTGGGCGTTGAGTGGCTTTGAGAGATACGTGGGAAGTGTCCTCAGTAGAGCATGGGATTGTTGAACAGATGCTGGAGGTCTGGAAGGCTTCCGGGAGAGGTGAAGGATGGACTGGATGTTGTAGGATATTTTAGCATCTGTAGAGGTAGCAGCCTGTTGGTCATCAGTAGTGATTGTACCTCAGACATGAACTTTGAGTAATTCTAGCCTTGAGATTTCAGGGACCCCTGCCTTGAACTTAACCGCCACAGTGTGTTAACTTTCCAGATTGCTGCAAATGTAATGGCTGGTCGAACAAACTCATCCTTGCTCAAAGATGGGGGATCAGAATCCTGGTGGGCTCTGCTAGTTTCCAAGTCCTGGACTCTTTCAAGGCCCAAATCTGAAAACTGGCTGACTGGGCTCTTCCCAGAAGTCTCTGGGAAAGACTGGGCCTCTGAGCTCACCCAGGCTGTCAGGATCCAGTGTTTAGGGTTGTAGAATTGGGGTCAGTGCTTTGCTCCTAGAGGCCTCTTTGATTCTTTTGTCCTGACCCCTGCATCTTTATGCCTTCAGCAGTGCCTGGCCCTTTGCATGCTTTGAATGGATCTCCCTGATGTCCTACCCTGCATCCTCTTGTAGGAAGTACTCTGCCAGTTGGCTCTGATGGGAATGAGTTTGGTCACTTGATAGCCCAAAGTACTTTCCTTTATAAGGTCTGTAAAGTTCCTCCTGTTACATAATACCACATACTCCTGAGTGATGAGCTTTAGGGTATGGACATCTTGGGGATCCCTGTGGGTCACTTGGGCTGTTGTCACTGTAGGTGCATGCTGCTTCCTACATACTATTGACTGTCTCTCTGCCTTCCCAAGACATCTCAAGTGCTGTGCTCGGGGCCTGGTCAAGTGTAGTTCTGTTGGTATTATTCCCAGCACATTAATTCTTTTCCATCCCCCAACTATCTTTACTGAGCTGAGAGAGAGCTTTAAATGGGGTGTGTCCAGAAAGCGTGCTGGCTGCTTGGAAGAGGGAAACCAGATAGAATTCCCCTTCCTTTCTTTCGGAGAGGCACCATCTCTCCATCAGTGTGCTAATATGAGGATTGCTTCCTCAGGCTTCTGCAGGAGACTCATCACAGTCTTCACCTCCATGCATGGGGAGCTCAGCTGTGCCCATTTTTAGCTGTAGGACTCTGTGCCTCAGTTTCTTCATTTGCAAAATCGGATACTAATAGTTTAGTGAAATGGCTCACTATAGGGCGCTTAAAATGGTGGTGCATGGTACATACTTTTCAATATGAACCTGGCACATAAGCCTGTCATTCCAACACTGGGAGGTGGAGGCACAAAGATCAGGAGTTCAAAGCCAGGCTCAGCTGCATAGCAAGTTTGAGGCCAGTCTGGACTACATGGACCTCTATCTTAAAAACAAATGAAACAAATCACTGGATGTGGTGGCTCATGCCTTTAACTTCAGTACCCAGGCGGCAGATCTCTGAGTTTTAGACCAGCCATAGCTGTAACTACATGGTGAGACCTTGTCAAAATAAATAAATAAAAATCTTAATGTAGAGAGCCATTTAAGGTTACCAATTGATGAAGTACAAGGCCTTTGGGCTTGAATAGCAGTCCAGATTCTTCATCTACATCTACAGGGTCTCCACCAGGGACAGAGTTTATCACTGTCAGATTGCTTGTAGACAGTTTAATGTTTATTTATTATTGTTGTGTATATATGATCTCCTTGGCACGCATATGGAGGTCAGAGGACAACTTTGTGAAATCACTCCTCTCTTCCTGCCATTATGTGGGTTCCGAGGATTGAACTCAGGCTTTCAGGCGTGTACAGTAAGCACCTTTACCTGCTGAGCCATCTCACAGGCTCTGTTGTAGGCATTTGGATCGCATTCTGAGCTGGGCTAGGGAGTGGAACCTGGTGATGCTGGACATCCTGCAGAGAAATAGTCAGCTCCGTAGTAGATCTGTCCAGTCCCAAATGCCAGGGGTGCCAAGGCTGCAGAGCTGTAATCTGGACTGTGGCAAAATGACTCTAGTTTACAAAATTGCTGTGCATTCTGAATGGGATGGTTCAGATCCAAAACAGTATCCCTCTTCTTGGTCTCTCAGCTCATGGTAGTGCTGTGCTGTGTCAGCTGTGAGGCCCCTGTGGCCTACATCCTGGTCCTGGTGCCCTGTGATTTCTCCCCTGTCCTCACCAATCACCTCTGTTCTCACAAACTGAGGCCTTTGCAGATGTCCCACTCTCTGAACTCTGACCTTCTGCTCTGCTCAGAAGCATTGCTCCTGGGGAGGACTTCTGACTGCCCCCAGTGTATAGCACCTCCAAGTGTCAGTTTCCTGCCCCTCAGCCTACAGTACTTCTTTTGGATCCAGTAGACTCCTCAACTTCTGCTTCATTTCTATACATCCTCATGAAGGTGGATTTCAATTTGTATTCTTATGGTATATTTTTATCCTCCATTTCAACTTGTTTTGTTTGTTTGTTTTTGTTTTTTAATCTCAAAGGTAGGCACACTTGATTTTGAAGAAGGAACTGCATACCCTCAGGCCTCTGGCTTCCGCATAGATGTGTATAATGCAAGTGACTCTAGTTTAGGGTAGTTCTGCTTGTGTTTTAGTGAGAAGATGTGTGCAATGTCCCTTCATGTGTGAGAGCCTTGGAACAATGGTTGCTGTTTAGAACCTGAAATGATTGAGTGATGTTCTGTGCCACTTACTTCAGAAAGTCAAGATTGCATGTGACAGACAGTCAGAGCAGGGGCCTCCTTCGCTGACCCGTGTGGGCAGGCCTTTCTCAGACTCTCTTCCTATCACTTGGCTGCTAAGAGTGACTGTCGTGAGCCTTGAACTTTCTTTTTTCTTTCTCTTCATTAAACTTATTTATTGTGTTTGCGCATGTGCACATGCATGTGTGTCCCACATCACCCTTGTAGAGGTCAGATGACAGCTTGTAAGAGTCAGTTCTTTCCTTCCATTTTGTGAACCCCAGTGATAGAATTCAGGTCTTCAGCCTTAGCAGCAAGTGTCTTACCTGCTGAGCCATCTTTGGTCCTGGACTTGTTTGTTCTTTCTTTTTTATTTTGTTTTTGTTTGTTTGATATAGATAGATAGATAGATAGATAGATAGATAGATAGATAGATAGATA